CTACTTCACTGTTATAAATTCTTACTGCAATGGACGGGCTTCATGAAGTGATAACCAGTTTCCCAGTATCTGGTATAAAGTTACTTCAATTGTAAGTAAACAACGCACACGGAGGGGCTTATCTCAAGCCCCCCCTGCAACACCTTGCCTCTTAGGGCCCCTTATGTAATCCCACCGCCCCCCAGGAGGTGGTAGAGCCCACTTTAGGAACAACTGGTTTAGAGGATAAACATGCAGAAAGACACAGAAATAGAAGCAGTATTCCTGGTTTTAGTTTAGGGGATAAACTTGCGGCCGGCCACAGAAATAGACGCGACGCGTTTTATATTAGTTTAGGGGATGAACGTTCACACGGGCACAGAATGATACGCAACATTTCTGATATTGAACTGCACAATGGGAAACTTCATGACTTGTACGCTTTGCCAAGTATAATTAAAATGATAGATTCGAGGAGGATGAGATGGGTGTGGCACGTAGCACGAATGAGGAAGAAGAGGAATGAATGTAGGATCTTGATGGGAAATACGTAAGGAAATAGACCACTAGGAAGATTAAGGTGTAGAGGATGGATAATATTAAAATGAATCTAAGAGATATACGGTGGGGTGATATGGACTGGATTTATCTGACTCAGGATAGGGACCAGAGGAGTGCTCTTGTGAACACTGCAATGAAATTTGGGGTTCCATAAAATGTTGGGAAATTTTTGAGTAGCTGTACAACTGGCGGCTTTTCAAGAAAGGCTCAGCTCCATGGAGTTTCTTATATTGCTTTAGGGAATAAATATGAAAACGGATATAGCAACAAAAGCGACGTTTCCAATGTTAGTTTAGGGGATAAACGTGCAGACGGACATTAAAATAGACACTAATTTTCGATACTGATGTACTGTTGCATCCGATGCAAAGGACGTAAACCTATAGAAATACAAATCTCGTCAGAAGAACAAATTGTATTCATTTGGATGTTTCCAGCCGTTGAATTGTTACTGCCATCTCGTATCACATTTCCCTGCTTCCTGCCTGCTGAGAAGATAATCGATTAGCAAAATAGGCCTATGAACATGACCTATCGGCTTTAAATGGGAAAGAAGGATGTACCCATTATCACTGACGCGGGGAAATAGTTGTTTCAAACCTGGAGAAATTTTATTACTGCTCTTTCCGGGTCCACTTGGAATCCCTGGGAACATAGTGCACATGCATGACATAACACTGAAAGATTACTCATGAAGTAACCAATGAATTAACACAGCACCTCTATCGGATAGATAATTCCCGAGATGAGGAAGTAGTCTCTCACGTGATAACGCCTCGCCTGTGTAGCATTTTACTGCTGACTGCCGTAAAATGCCAGGTAGGCGAGACGTTATCACGTGATAGACCATTTCCTCATCTCGGATATGATGTTATCGATACAGCTGCTAGGTTAATTCTTTACGTATTCGTAAGCACACTACATTCGTGTTGCCAACAAGTGGCAATAGTCAGTTCGCATGCAAATTGAAAAGTGACATAGACACAAGAATCGTGGGGAAAGGGAAATAAGACACGTCATGAAAGCATGTTATCGTGGTTCAGACCCCGACGTCCAAGAGATCAAAAGCGAGCGCGATTTTAGATGACTCGACATTGGGATCGAAAGGAGCTCGAAATTTTATAATATAATTCTCTTGTCTAGAAAATATTTTTCGATTGACTGACTGTGTCTCCACCATCCAAGGAGTTTATTATTATTATTAATTATTATTATTATTAGAGGGGTGGGTTTCTCCATGCACTTAGACCAGTTATTGGTCCATTGTGCGTCCCCCTTTAATTTCTACTGTCGCCATACCCTACCGGTACTGGTGCGTGCTATCAGCCCCGTTCAGCCAACGAGGTCGGCCTTCGGTACCTGATATTTCCCCCATCTACCAGAGGCATTGGAAACTACATGGGCTAGAAACTTGTTGCCTAATTTTGCTCAGAGATCTCCTGGAGACATGAGGATCTTTTACGCGCCGTAAATCTACGACACGGGACCCACGGCTTAAAGTCCCTCCCGGAGGACTTGTTCCCTGACTTTTTCCGCCCTTAAAAATTTAACGACCTCCGCCGGGTTTGAACCCGCGTACCTTGAGTCATGAGGTGGGAACGTTACCCCTAGACTACGGAGGCCGCTATCCAAGGAGTTTAACTACTTGCCTGAACTCGAAAAATGAGGATGCCAAAATTAAAACCAACCTCTAGCGTGTAGAAGGAAAAGTAGACCTGTTTCATATTAATTTTCTTCTGCGCTGTTATATTTTTCCCCAGCCTGCAGAAATATACAGAAGTGTCAGCACGTCTCGATCCGTACTCCAGAATGAAAGTTTATGAGTGTCTTAAGATGAGAATATCATAAAATTTGGTATTCGCTTTTGTTCGTGATACTTTTTTATGATATGTTTCCGAATCTCACACGAAAGTTTCATGTCTGACATAAGGACAAAGAAGCATCGCCTTCCACTCTGACATGTAATTCTTGTGAGCAACATGTCTTACATAACTGACTATGGAACTCTTATACAGAAGACATTCTAGGCCATTGTTTGTTATCAATGTTTCCCAAGCATACTCTATTTATTAGAGAGAGGGTTTTTGTAAATATGGATCGGAAATTATGAAAGTAATATTTTCTGGTAATAGGATATTTTGTAACAATGCTAAGAAGATGCTGGTTTGAAATTGTTATGAATGTTCATGCCTCAGCTAACGATAGAAGTGACAATGCTGTCATGCATATGAGTGAATATAGCCGGTGTTCGCACTGATGATAGGCGTTGCTGGACTCTTTGGTACAGATCGTCACTACATTTTACAATTCACTATTACACACACACACACACACACACACATAGCGCCTACAGTCAGGTATTCACTAGCCGTTGCTCAGTAGCGGCTCCAACGGCGGACGTTCCCCTTCCTCTGGGTTCCCGAACTGTCCCCCGGCCCCAGCTACTAGCTTCTAACAGCAACAGCTCACAATGGCTGAACCTCCGCAGTTCTCTAACTCAGTCACTCACCAACCAAGTAATTTAACTCAGCTGAATCAACTGACTCTCACTAACTGTCCTGTTTATAACATCTCGGCAAAGACTGCACAGAAAATACCGCTCCATTACTAATGTGCAATTGTCGCGAAAACATGCTTCTTTGCAGAGCCGTTACTCAGCAGCGGCTGTTGTACATTTGTTTATTCCGTGGTCGTTGCTTAGCAACGGGTCTACGTACCACAATATGAAAAAAACGTATCAGGAAATGGAGCGTTTATTCGATCCATTATTTAAGCACCGTATGGAGATTTTGTTAGGAGACTTCAATGCACGTCTAAAGAGGGATACACAATGACAGCAGTTTTATTAGTATGAATACATTATACATAGCTTCATGGTGGTCAACAAGTCCGGAACATGTTGCTAAGTATTATAAAGGTAATTCCTGTACTTAATTAATTAAGCGCAACGCCATCAAGATGTATGGAGGAGTGGAGGTATGTCTCCACCATTATGTACCTCGGCACTAGATGGAGGTGAGTGGTCAGCTTCAAGCCCCTGCCCCTTGGCCTCGTGGAAAGGTCGCCGGTGTCCATTGGAGAGGAGGTTGGGTGGGACCCAGAGCCGGTGTGGACGCTATGGAGAAAAGAAGAATCTTGCCTCTGCCGGGAATCAAACCCCGGCTGCCCAGTCGGTAGCCTGTCTGTATACCGACTGAGGTATCTCGGCTCCTCTCTTGGTATAGGTGGTCTCGTAAATGCAGCTTTTTTATTATTGCTAGTGGGGTGGGAGTAAGTCCCTTGTACTGCGGCAACTTCTGGCCTATTGCACCAGCCCCAGATGATAGGTGAGGGCGATTGTGGAGCAATTGGTGGAATGAAGATTGGCATGGTAAACCGAAGTACTCGGAGAAAACCTGACCCAGCGCCACTTTGTCCACCACATCTCCCACTTGACCAGACAAGGGATCGAACACGGGCGGCCGCAGTGGGAAGCCAGCGACTAACCGCTTGAGCTATAGCGCGACCCTAAATGCAGCTTACTGGTGGCGGTGTCAATTCACTTTCTCGCCAGAATTAAAACAACTTCCTATTATGTATTAACGGCATATAACAGTTAATTTAAATTTCTATAAAATTAAATTTCGTTAGTAGAAAGGTTTTCCGCGAGATTAACGGCAGCAGTAATACAAGTAAGTATAAAGGTAATTTTTCCCTGTGCTTAGCTAACTAAGCTCTATGCCATGAAGACGTATGGAGGAATCGAAGTATAACTCCATCATTCTTAACCTCGGCACTAGTTGGAGGTGAGTGGCCAGCTTCACGTCTCGGCCGCTTTATCCCCGGGGAAATAGTCCCCTTTATCCATTGAATAGAAGGCTGACTGGGCCTCAGAACCGAAGCAGATAACGTGGAGAAGAGAAAAATCTTACCTTTACCAGGACTCGAACTCCGACCCCTCTGTCGTCCAGCCCGTACCTACTCACATCCCGGCTCGCAGTCACAAGTCTAGAAGATTTCAATATTTTTATTGCCACATGTTTATTATATTTACATATATGTCATCTTTATCTATAGGGGCACGCGTTAGCGTAGTTTGTTGAGGCATTATGTTACAAGCGGGAAGGTCTCGAGTTCTAGTCCAGATTAGGTAGGTGTTTATTTAGATTTACCTGATTCTTCAAGCCGCATTATGGCCGTTGGGTCAACTCATCCTCTAACAGAAATGAGTACCAGGAATCATCCTGGGGGTAAACAGCGGCCGGCGCGTAAGGTTGACAAACCCATCGCCATCTGTGAGCCGATTTTCTAGAGAGAATGTGGGAACCTCGACGCCTCACAACAGTAGAGGCCTTCACGGCCTGTTACAGGGATAGCTTTACCTTTATCTTTATATGTCATATTTACACCTACGTGCGGTAATAAGTGGAACAAAATGAAAATCACATTTCCTTTGTGTTTTCATGTGCTGCTCGTGGTAGAGATGGAATTAGTGCCCGAAGGGAAGAACTTCAGATTAGCTCAAGAAAACGAACTTCCAGAAATATTGGACTTCCTCTCGGAACACTTGCCTGACTCGCTCAAGGTAAGTGGCTAAGTGCGTTTGTCCACAAGTTTTTAGTTGTGAGAGTTTCTTGGGTTTCCGAAAGAACGGGGCTCCTTCTTTGGAACTTATTCAATTACGGACATCAATACTGCAGACACTAATTGACACACTGTCGTGGAGTTCGGTATGAGCGACAAGTCACTGACATCACTTCAGCTTTATACTTTACAATGCCTGCCTTCAGTAGCAGAGTGTCACTAAGTTACGCCCGCAGTGCGACCGTTCAATGTGGGAACAATAAGAGGGGAATTCAGTTTATAAATATTTATATAGTGACATCTGTGGAAAATACATTATTTTCAGTGAATAGCTCCAGGTTAGGGGTTGGATACAAGCCTGACAACCTTGCTCTGTAAAAATTTGTCGCGAAATCCGAAGTAGTGAAGCCCGGAAATTCTGGCTGAATCTTCTATGGAAGGCTATGGCTGAAAAAGGGCTGTTTTATTAATGATAATGATGATAAACTAATAAAATAATGACCGTAAAACATATTCATGTGCGCTGATGTAACTAATGGATCGTCATAACTTTATGTGGGCCTGTGATATGTTACAAACATGCTACAAGCCGGAAGGTCGCGGGTTCAAGTCCCGATGAGGTCATTGGATTTTTTCAATTGACCTAATCCTTCCAGCAGCAGTATGGCCCTGGGGTTCACTCAGCCTCTAACAGAAATGAGTACCAGGAATTTATTAAATAATTTTCCTGGGGAGTAAAGCACGGCCGGCGCGTAAGGCTCACAACCTTACCGCCATCTTTGAGCGGATTTTCTAGATAATGTGGGACCCTCAACGTCTCACAACCCTATGGGCCTTCACGGCCTGGTACAGGGATAGCTTTACTTTCTTTTTTTATTAATAGTACTGACAGTAAAAGGTAAATTAAAGTTGCCCCGTTCTTAATTCACTGCCCATCACGTCATGAAGACGTAAGGGAGAGTAAGTACAGCTTGAAGAGTTCTTAATTCCGGTTGGAGATTAGAGGTCAACTTCACCGCCCGACCAGCGGCAATATAATATAAAATGTTTATTATGATGTGTTATGGACATCTACTAATAGTCCTGATATCAGATTCCGTTTCGTGGATAATTTAACTACGCTTCAGTAACGAAAGTACACAGCGTCGGTTCTGGTGGTAATAAAATTTACAAAATTTTAAAAGAACATGTTATGAACATGCTCAGACGCTACTGGTGGCACTAAACTTACAAACCTGATCCTCTTGAACTACGCCAACTATGAAAGGTTTTTAGCGCTTCTTAATAAATTAAATATTTATTACTGGATAGTAATGCTTTATTATATAAGTAACGCACACAAAAGGGCAGAATATTTATTGATAAACTGATAATCTCTCATTCAGCAAATCCCACGTCCTTTATGGAACCCGAATATTCATTAACGCGTCAACGAGAGTCTGTCAGCAGGGCCCGAATTTAGGAGTTATCGGGTTTTAATCTCGGCCCTGAAGTTCTTAATGATTTTCTCAGGTCCTCCAGATAACCTTCGGGATTTTGCTTTAGAACAGGAAATATGATGTTCATTTTCGAATTACAATTCTCAATCATTGTACTGTTCAAGGCTATATGACCTATGTACCTAAAAAGCGTCATTAAATAACACACCAACCAGTTAACTCAAGATAAACGTCGCTTACATTGTTTTATACATGTAAAGAAAACGCTGCAGTGACTCCTAGAAGCTATTCTGGTTTAAATTAACATTTCTCTGTCGCCGTGTTCTGGGGACCAGTGTCGCATTTGACACGACAGTTCCCCCTCCCCCTTTTTACCCAGTACTTATTACTGTTTGTTTTCTAGAGTTCGTGGATGTTATTGTAGGGCCATGCGGGAAAACAGTTTGCGGTTATGTTGCCTCTGCAGTTTTCTACTGATGCTGGTTACGATATATTTATTGTCGCAATGCTAGGATAGTTCAGGATAAGATGCAAGAATTTCGTATTTCATTCGTGTCTGATTCTCATCTCTTTGTATCTGGTCTCATGCTTCTGCTAACAGTTTTCTTTTTATGGTCTTCAAAACTAGGAGCCCCACAAATTTTACGAGTAGATTAATATTGTCAGAACATTGAAATATAGGAGGCCATGATTTGCTGTGATAGATGAGACGAACAGTGAATAGAAAATTTTTGTGAGGAAACATTTTTCAAGGCCGAGAGAGACTGTATCTTGATGTGTCTTATGAGGATAGGTTTCGAGGTTATATATAGTCCAGATTGTATCCAATGGAGAAATTTGGCATGAACGATATTGGATCTTCAGGATTTGCTACCATAGCGTCAATTCTGCACATTTAGAGCGTAAAACTAGAGCACTGTGTCGAGGTTACGTCGCTTTGCCGTCGGTATGATCTTGTTCCTGAACCAGGCGGACATTTTAAACCTTTGCATAACACGCTTCTCTGTTAGGGGTATATAACCCTCATTTTAGGTCTTGTGTTAATTCCAAACATGTCATTTAAAAACCCTTAAACCTTTTGAATTGGACCAGCTTTAACGGGATTTCTGTTTTACTCATAATCACATTTTCTCAGACTCCTTATGTGCATGTTTCAACACCTCTGAAGTTACCACAGCTGACCCCATGAATTTAATACAACCACTTTTATGACTAAGTTCACTGAGAATATATATTTTGGAACTAAAAGACTAATATAACCGACAAGCTAACAAATCAGTTGATCTGTGAATTAGTTAACAAAAAATACATTTTTATTGACCTACATTTAAATCGCAGTCAGAAATTAAATTGTACACGTAACACATTTTGTGAGCGACTTCCTGTTCTCCAATAATAACATGATTTTCACATGCCCGTTATCAAACATGGAACATGTGCCCAACATTTGAGCACGTAATATTTTTCCAAGATGAAGAGAGATAAGTAACTGGTAGAGTTTTAGTGTACTAGCGGTTAGTCTGTTTAATGATTCGTGACTGATGATAAAAATAATCCGAAAATCATAGCGATATTTTCAGCTTGTTGAGTACACGTAATAATTTACTCACCTTGTCTTCTTTACTAGCCGAGTCTACCGCACCGGACATCATGTTATGTATATTGAAGCATGCAGCAATCAGCTGACTGTATTCGTGATGGAACAGATTACACTGCGGGGTTGAAAGAAATAGAGGTCACTTCTGCTGCAATGCGCCCTGTGGCGGTGACGGGAAACACGTGTGAGCCACGGATGACTGACACAACACAGATTTATTCCTTTTAATGTTAACATAATTAAATCAGTAAGGACTAATGGGGGAAATAAGAACTGTCTTTAAATATTTGTCTGCAAAATCTTATGAGAAATGACTGTCTAGAAACTTAACCGGACGCATGGGGAAAACAAGACAACTCTACCGCTGTTTGCAATTTCTGAGCTGTAGCCTCCGGACAATATTATAGCCTCAACATCAGACACTGGCAGTGTATTAGACGAATTAAATACAATGCAAAAAATTGACGTTATCATAAGCACCTGCGATGTGACGCCGTGTAGTCTGGTATAAGTGTATGGACTCTTTGAGAAATGTACTTCTTCCATCTTCAAGACTGAAGACTAAGAGGAGCATGGTCCCTATTGGTTCGTTCGTAGATCCGACCCTGTTCACATCTGTATCGCGTCCTTCCAAACTTGTCTTAACCTGCGCGCTTGGGTTAGTCTTCGACCCTGAAGATGTAAGCAGTAAGTTCCTCTGAAACGTCGGTGTACTTCTATAAGGCTACATGGCAACACATTCTAAGAGAGTGTAGCCTCCACAGTGTAAAGACACCCACAAATATCCGCGATATAAAGCACAGTTAGTGGCAGGGAAGTCAATAGGACATAGAATATTAAATACCTTACTTTCATTTTCAGTTCCACCAGACGCTGAAGACTTATCTCAATGATCGTGTGTGGCAATTCTACTTCTACGTGAGCAAGAGCTGGCCCGAGACTCGTGTGTGTATGCACTTCCCTGGAATGACGAGTTCGGTAAGCCCAATGTTCACGTAATTGAATACTTCCCGAAGACGAAAAATACAACGGGAGTATAATTACGTTAAACATCCCAAACAGCGGTGAGCTGAACTGAGACCAGATTGTACTGCAGTCGCATATTTTGTATTTATTCAGTCATTTTAGGAAGATCATAACTGCGAAGTTCTTAAAGAATTTTACTAGTTAACTAAAAGCTGGATGACCTGGGTTCGACTCCCAGCGAGTGTAAGAATATTTCCTTCCGCCATCACGTTACGATCGATTCTGGGAGCAAATGATGTGCCCACCCCAGCCAAAGTCTGGAATATTCCTTTATTATGAATTATTTTGCTATCTTCCAGAACCTTTCTAAATCATTATGCACAATTAAAATAAGTAAACGTATCCAACGTTAGTATACAAGTTTCTACCGAAAGACTGGTTTCAAACCTCGGCCCTCAGACAGTTTATCGTGTTCGAGGATTTTCTCAGTCCCTTCCTTTCACATCCTCTCTGTTCACTATTCACAATTAAACCTGCTCTTCGATGCTACATAGGTTAACAAGATGGCTTGAGCAGTAATGCGTCTGATTTATATTCGGAAGGAGACCGTTTCGTATCTTGTTCGGGACATCAACTATACTGAATGAGATTTTTCATTTTTTTCCATAGTCCTTCCAGGCAGACTAAAGGGATAGTACCTTAAACTGGCCATGCAGGCTTCCTTTCACGTCCTTGTCAATTCACTGTTTTCTTTCATCCAATTATTTCGAGCTATGTAATCTGGATTATTTGTGCTGTAGTGGAATAAACCAGAAATAAGTATGTTCAGTATATCGGGTTCCTACCCGAACTAAATCGCAGGCCTCTTTCCTGTCTTCTGAATGAAGTACATAGGGAGGTCTGTCTTTCCGTTCGTATGTTATATTTCATCTCTGGATGACACGATCGGATTATATCAGGGGTCAAATGTGTGTGGGGATTTGATGTTCATTTGTATCGGTCAATTATAAGCCATACTTCAAATAAAATTCAAATCAAACGTCAATAATCTAAAAGCTGGTTAATAACACACACAAAAAAGAATCACGCTCGTAATTATGTTATAAACATTAATATCTATAGCGTTTAGATTTTATTTGAAACCTTTTCAATATAACGAATATTTAACATATCAAGGAAAATAAAGTAGGAAAAATCGCAAGGAAATATAACTTCAGGCTTTATCTCTGTGAAAAGTTTACTAGTGAAACCTGAACTGAGTTCCTTTATTAATTTCGTTTATAGTCCGTTTGGGTGTTAAATACACTAATTATTGACCATTTCAGATGAATTATCGGAGTTTCTGTCTGAATGAGCAGTGGACAATATATTAGTTTCTGTCAGAAATAAAATCAAATTTAAAGTTAAAAGAATGTTAAAAGCTCTTCAAAAATATGTGTATTCTAATCTGAAATAGGTGGGTATTTATACACTTGTTTTAATATAAGTTATGTCTAATGCAAACAATTTGATCAATAGTTGAGCCATTACTATTGAATCCTCATTCAAGCTTGCGAATATTTCCATTTATGTTTCGGCTCATTAAGTCATCATCAGGTACTTATCAAGAAGATCTTTCATCCATGAAGTTACTCATATTTAACATCATTCCATTGCATTCTGATCTCTCTATATAAATCTTAATCAAATCAAACATAGACAAGCACATTTAAGAGCCTACTAGGCGATAATATGGAGAATGTTACAATTTTACGGAATGAAGACTTTAAAATTAACTTCAGGTATTTTGTAGGACCAACTGAATGGAAACCAGGTTATTTCCAAGATCTCTACCTTAACAGAACAGCCCCCCAATAAAAAATATGAATATTTGTGCCCCGAGCAGGATTCTAACCCACGACCCTAGTAAAGGGATGGTATTCTCAAGCCTCAGGAGTCTTGATAGCTCAGTTGGTATAGCGACTACTTGGAAGGTCGGGGTTCAATTCTCGGCAGAGGCAAGTGATTTTTCTCTACTCCATAGCGTCCATGCCGACTGTGGAGCTCAGCCAGCCTGTTCTACAACAGGAACCGGGGAGCCCTTCACCCGGGGGTAAAGCGGCAGGTGATTGAAGCTGATCGCCCACCATTTAGTAACGAGGTCAAGAATAGTGCAGTTATACCTCAACCTCCCATATGTCTTCATGTCGTGTGGCGCTTAATTAATTAAGCACAGGGAGAGCCCTACTTTTACTGTTATCCCCAAGCCCGAGCGTGGAGCGCGGTAACCGATGTCTGACAAGAGAGAAAACATCGTTAGGCGTGATTGAACCTAGCGGAGGTCACGTGCACAAGCAAGCTATCGAACGTTCCTGGCTCCAAGCAGCAAAGTCGTTATTACACATATAATGTCAGGATTTTTGAGGTCTAATTAAGATGCGCGCGCAGCACCACATCTAAACCAGTATTCAATGACACGAAACAGCTGATGTCAGCCCCCCACACGGGTCAGTACCGACCGTACCGACGCCCTCTTCTCAAGCACGACGCCAACAAATTGTGCAGGCGACATGTAGTTAATTCATCTCCATGCATTTTAGACCACGAAACTAATGGAGGTGAATTGGAGGCCACACACTCCAGTCGCTTATAAACTCTGGGGAAGTTCCCGTGGTAACTATTTTATGTGAGGCTTACAGGACTCCTGAAGCGTTCTAGATGAAGAAAACATATCAAAAGTAAGAATAATGTCTCCTGGGATATGATGCCGTATAGTCTGGCAGAACTTTGCTGACGTTTTGGAGAACGTGTCTCCTCAGTCGTAAGGGTCAAAAGGTAGATATAGCAAGCTGCAAAGCTTGGTACAAATTATGAAACTGTTCAGTATTTTCGGCCGATTGATCATCCATTTATTCTTTTTATCCAACCATAAGCAATAGCATAAATATATCCTTCGAAGCAGAGTCTGAATTCTTGGTATCCGTTTAGTAGTTTCATAATCCTGAAAGTTTTTTTTTTTTTATAAAATGTTTTGAGTCTTGGTAAAATTCATTTTTGTCTTTTTTGTGTGTGTGATTTCTTTCCGATAACACTGTTAATATCTAAACTGCAACGCCTTGAAAGCTTCGAAATGTGGTGTTGGAGAAGGATGGAGAAGATCAGTTGGACCGATTATGAGAGAAATGAAGAAGTGTTCTTTAGAGCGAGTGAGCAGAGGAATATCCTACACGAAATAAGAAAACGGAAGTCTAATTTGATTGGTCATGTTTTACGCGGTAACTGCCTTCTAAACGAAGTTATTGAAGGAAAGACAGAGGGGCGGATAGAAGTGACAAGAAGACGAGGAAGAAGACGTAAGGAGATGCTGGATGACCTTGGGGACAGAAGAGGATATTTTCATTTGAAGGAGAAAGCTCTAGATCGCATCAAGTGGAGGAACTGTTTTGGAAGAGACTGTGGACCTGTCGTCTCACAGATTACTGATGAATGAATGAATCTAAACTGCATAGAATCGAATGATAAGGTGATTTATGAATGATAAATTAGGGAGGATTTACAAGAAAGCTGTCGTGTTTGAACCGAGGTACTGTTCCAGCCATTTTTTTTCGCCATTATTTATTGAGGTGTAAACGGAAGTTGCAATTGTTTAAACCGATAATAGAAACAGCTATACAATTTAAAAAAATTAAGTATTCACAAAAGACTCTCTACGTCTCGTGTAAAGTATTAAGTTTTCAAAGATTTGGTATTTTTTAAATCTGACTGCCGCATACGAATTAATAGGAAGGCTAAATAAACATACGGTAGAGGTCAGAACGCCGGTCACGGTAGCCGAGCGGTCTAAGGCGTGTACTGTTTTCGCTCGCTCGGAAGCCGGGACCTTGGGTTCGAATCCCACTCAGGGCATGGATGTTTGTGTGCGTTTTTCTGTGTTTGTGTACAGGTAGAGGCCTTGCGACAAGCTGATCACCCGCCCAAGGAGTCCTACCGTATGTCTAAGATCTAGAAAAACCGAAGTGAACGGAGAGTTTCATGGAGGTAGGCCTAGGTCCACTGGGGCTCTAGTGCCAAGGGGGAGAGCGGAAGAGGTCAGAACATGAATCTCAGAGAGCGCAGGAAACCGCTGCGTACAGTTCTCATACATCTGTTTTGCTTTAACTACTGTTTTGTTACGAAGGCATGTAATTATGGAACCAATTTAACGTACTGCACACGATGCCAAAGTTGTGCTATTTAAAAAGAATGTTTCCTTAGGAATCGATGGAACATCAGCCTATTCTCTTTCCTTACACGGTTTGCATTATTGAAGAGCCGGGCTCCAAGTAGCCCATGTCCAAAGAAGTAAAGGAACACAGCTTAGTCCAAGGTTCCCTGAGTAATTTTAGATTTCACAAATGTTTGGATTTAAATAAGCACCGAATGTTTCTGGAACGTTATTAATTCCTAAAATATGTGTGACTCGGCGGAACAGTCTATCTTGGGAATTTCTTGGGAGCAGCCCAGTTTTCCAAGAGACTCTGCCTTTTTATGGAATTCGAAGCACACCTCAGTGTTCACAAGAACCGCCGATGTACCCTATCGTGAGCCAATTGAATACAATCCACACTAATGCGTCCTATGTCTCAAAAATACAATTTAATAATATACTTCCATCCACTCCTATGTTTCACATATGGTTTATTCCCTTCAGGTTAATCAACTAAATTTTGTGCGCATTTCTTGTCTCTCTTGTCCCTGCTAATATGTGGTGAAGGGCCGGTCACAGCAGCCGCGCTGTCTAAGACATGAAATGTCTTCGCTAGCTCGGACGCTGGGATTGTGGGTTCGAATCTCACTTAAGGCATCGATGTTTGGTGTGTGTGTGTGTGCGTTTATTATGTGTTTGCGTTGTCCTGTGTTTAGGTAGAGGTTTCGAGACGAGCTGATCGCTCGTCCAAGGAGTCCTACAGTCTGAGATAAAATGATTACGGAATTGAATGAGAGGCCAGGGCCCTGAATGGAATGGAAGAGCCATTGGAAAAAAAAAAGTTAGT